CCTGTCTTTATAAATGTAACTTACTATCTCTCTCTATCTCTCTCTCGCTCTGCTATTGGCGCGCCTGGTTGTGATGAAGCCGAGACCCAAGGTCGGCAGAGCATCCCAGACCATGCCACCACTCCCCTTATTCATGGCTCACACATGACGGGTTTACGTGGCTCTAGTAAAAAAAAGAAAAAAAAGAAAATGTGGACATGAGTTGTCGGTCGAGCACCAACTTTGTTATAGTCGTGTGGTTTCCTACCCTACTGCATCATGAAGTTCATGATCTCCTGGCGGAAGAGCTCACAATTGTTTGTTCCGCGGTTGGTACGGAACCGACGCTCGCACCTCTAGCTGGGGAGCGTTTTCGTTTTCGAACAGCGAATGTTAGCGAGGAGGCCAGACTCGATGTGAGCGCTCAGGGGTTTTTGAGCCGTGGGAGGAGGCTTTTTTTGATGTAAGGCTTTTTTGCCCAGATGCCCCTTCCTATCGCTCCAAATCTCTCAGCGCTCTCTACAAGCAACGTGAGGATTCTTAGCTTCGTGAGTATGAGGGAAGAGTTGTCAATGTAGAGCGTGGTTCTTTCACCCCTCTAGTGTTTGGTACTCATGGTGGTTGTAGTTCGTTGTGCACTGTGTTTTTGAAACGTCTTTGTCGCTTACAATGTGAGTCTTCTGGTAGCGAATACTCCGTTGTCATGTGTTGTACATGTGGTTGCGCTTGCAGCTCTTCATTTTACATGAAGGTTGCACGTGTAGCTCTTTGTCGTACATGCTGCTGCTTTTGTGTCTCTGTGTCGTACATGCTGCTGATCCATGGTACACGCTACTGCGCTGTCTTGGAATGTATTGTACATGCCACTGAACCGTCTTCTGTCCCCTCCGTATGCATTCTTTCTCATATCGTACCCGTTGTATACGCATTCTCTCATCTTGTCTCCGTTGTATTTGTCCAGTTGCCGTCTTGGGTCCGTCATATTTCATCGTCTGCCGTCTTTGCCTCCCGTCCCGTTCGGGACTAGTTGTATATTCACGTGCACCTATTTCACTTCCACGTACCACTTTTGAGCACCTCTTTGGTCTCCATCGCCCACTTTTTCCCCACTTTGTCCACGTCTCCACATTATATTATCTTGTCTTGTCTTGTGGGAGTTCAGTTCTCTCCTCCAGTCCTGAAGTGTGGTAATGAAAAGCTCTCTCGGTCCAACCGAGAACAACTATATAAATAGACCCTTTGTTTGGGTGGCGGGACTAATGTAGAGGTAGTTCGTATCTCTCGCGCCCGCACACGCGCGACGACACATGAGTCTGCGAGCCCGTCTCTCTTTCTCCTTACTGAGATCCAGTATTCTTTGTATCAGTGGTGCTTGTTCTCCGAATGTCTCAGTACTCCTTGTCAGTGTTGTGCCATTTTGTCGCACTCGCTGACTGTATAAGATCTGGTTTTGGTGGTGGACAGTTAGTCACAACTCGTGACATTTTTTCTTTGTCCTTTTCCACCATAATTTAATTGGCTCACCATCCGAGTTGAATCTTATTAATTAGTGCAAAGTTGTTTTGTTTTGTTATTGTTTTTCTCCTTTTGAATTGAGTTTATTGAGTTAATTGATTTGAGCAAAAAAGAAGAAACACATGAGAACGAGTTATGCAGCAACTATCCACGACTGTAACAAGATGATAACGGCCGGAGGAGGTACCTAACATACCACCCTCCATGAAAAAAAAATCCGCGTCCTCGCGGAGAGAAAAAAAAGAGAGAAAAAGATTTTAAAAAAATGACTGGAGGAGAAAAAAACACACACACACATATTGCACGCGCGCACGGATCTCACGAAAGTGTTTACTAAAAATGCACTACAGATCATTCCTGTACTACTTATAGTGTGTAATAACTATTGGAGGTTGACGAGGAACGTGAATTACTAGTATTTTGCACGGCTAATACAGCCTAGTTACACTTTTGCTAAACATCCAAAAATTAGAGCGTGGCTCACCATGATCGGACCCCTAACTTGGTAATGTTTTACGAACACACGCGCGCACACACACTACAAAAAAATTCAGGAAAATAAATTTGACGAAGAAGCATACAAAAAAAAAAGAAAGAGAGAAAGGTAGCTGACCTGCATGGCTTGAACGAGACGAGGTGGACATAGACGAGACGAGGTTGGCGTAGGAGAGACGAGGTTGATAGAGACGAGACAAGGTTGGCGTAGGAGAGACGAGACTGACATGGACGAGACGAGACGAATGGTGGTTGAGGACGGCTGGGCATGGGATGATCTCAGGGTCGTGGGTCGATCAATAACCGGGCGCCAATGTTGAGTTCGAAACAGGACGACTGACGACATATCCAGACATTACAACGGGAACAGGTAGGTTGGGGGACGACATTTATTATAGACGACGAGACAAGAGACCAAGACGAACGAAACGACTACATGGTGATTATTGACAAGTGAGAAAAGAGAGAGAGAGAGATCAAGTCTGAACGGCAAGATAAAGGGCCTGGGTAGCTATGGCAAATATGGGCGCGCAAGTAGCTACCCAGGCCAACGGAACAAAAGGAGACAAAAGGTGAGTACGAAAGTGCATGCAGGCCAGCTAGAAAAGGTACGGGAGGAGTACCTAACACAAGCCATGAGTGTTTGTAAGCGAGGTACCACTAATTGCTCGGCTCTTCTTTAGCTTTTGATTCCTTAGGGACACAGATGACTAAAGACGAAACAAATGTACATTGAAGAGGCATTTTCCAATTAGAGGTATGGAAAGAAAAGTTGCAGGTACCACAAACTATGGCAACTTGTTTGATGTTCAGGTGTATAATAATTACATGTATTATGTTTCCAGAATATAGAAAGGAAAAGGACATATGGATACGAGTTAAGAGTAACTCTCCATCACTGTAACTGGATATTATATACAGTCAGAAAGTGCAATATCTAGGCAAAAAACTGACAAGAGTACTGAGACATTCGGAGTTGTGTTGAAGCTAGGTGTCAGGACGTCGAATGTCTCAGTACTCTTGTCAGTTTTGTGCCTAGTTATTGCACTTTCTGACTGTTTATAGTATCCAGTTACAGTGATGGAGAGTTACTCTTAACTCGTATCCATAATGTCCTTTTCCTTTCTACATTTATATATGGCTCAACATCCGAGTTTCCAGAATATAATACTTTTATCTTTTTCCGGTCATTGTTGAAAATTACGGGACTGAAGCCATCAAGTGACTAAACAAAGTTGAACTATTCAACAGTATGATATAAACAACGTACTGGAACTTCTAAAAGTAAGCTAAAGGCTAATGATTAATGGAACACATTTCCTTGAACAATTGACTACAGACTAATGAACCAGCAGGTTTACATTCACATCCTTATTGTGTGTTGTTCATTTTTGAGAAGAATACTTTAGTATTTTGCCTTATCTTTCTTTGCAGGACTCTAAAACAAAACAACATATCCTCTATACCTGCCAGAATATTCAGTAACCTTACACAACTATCATATCTGTAAGTTGAGAAGAAACTAGAGAATGCAGTTTCAAATTTGGACTTCATAGAGAATTTCAAAGTATTAGGAAATTAGAGGCCACATGCCACATACTGCTCTTTTTTCTCCGAAACTCAACACTTGCCAGATATGAAAGAAAGAAAAAATCATCAGTCACACCACCGGGGATCGAACCAAGGACATTGCTATTCGCAAGCAATGCTCTAACCAACTCGACAGCCAACTCCACTGCAGCCACGGCTATGGAGAAGGCAACAGCTCTCAACAAGTTCTTTATCTCCCAAACAGTCCATCGACAAGACCACCTGTATTACACCAGACATCAACACTACCCCTGACATCAGTCATACTCTAAATGCAATCGCAGGAACAGTGGAAGAGGTCGAGAAGCTTCTAAGCAGTCTAGACACTGGCAAGATCCCAGGCTTTGACAACATCCCAACTCGGCTCCTGAAAGAAACTGCAAAGGAAATCTCCCCATCCCTCTCTAATCTCTACAATCTGTCCTTCAGAACCGGAGAAACACCACAGGATTGGAAAGACGCAACTATTACACCTGTAACATGTATGGCTGTCTGCAATCTCATGTTTATATCCATATGATGCGCAGTTTCATTTATATGCCTTATTAGCTACATACGTTCGTTGCAGGTTTCGGGTTCTGCATTTTTGGGTTCAAATCTTGCAATGTACTTTTTTTCTGTTTATCTCTTTTTTTCTTGAGTCTATGAGCATGCGCACTGAGAGAGAGGATGTTGATTTTGAGAGAGACGAAGTTTCCTTTTACTTGTGGGATTTTGTCTTTGCTTCTGGAGTGAATTGTAATTATTTTCTTTGACTTCTGTGGAAATAAATAATCCTTAGTAATCCTGCAAGCAAGCAGGTTACATCTGGTGGCAGCGGTAAAGTAGTTTTGTCAGGCTCTTTCGAATTTGGAAGTGGCTGAAAAATAAATAAAATTTCGAAAATCAGTCACAGAGCAGTATAGCATAATGGCTCATCGTGGTGCTCGTGGTGCTCAGGCACAAGCAGCTGCAGCAGTAGTACCTCCACCCACCTCCACCACCACCAATGCCAGCTGCAGCAGGTGGTGTGGGAAACCGGGCAGCTGGTGTCCCTGTTCGTGCTTGGGCTACTCCCCAGAAATTTTCTGGTAATCGTGACAGCGATTGGAGGACATGGCTACTCCAGTTTCAGACAGTGGCCCGTGTAAATGGCTGGACACGGCGACAGCAGGGGGACTACATTGGCCTGTAGCTGACAGACGATGCATGGTCTAAACCAAGCTGTACGGCATGGTCTTTTGGACCCGCTCCTGCAGTTACTGGAACAGCGGTTTGGAGCTGCCCAGAACGTGGAGATACATCGTGCTGAGCTGAGGTCTCGACGACAGAAATCTGGAGAACCAATTTCTGTGTAATGCGAGGCAATTCGCCGCATTGCCCGTCTGGGGTACTCGACACTTCCCCCGGATGTCCAGGACATCCTTGCCAAGGACCAATTCATGACTGGCCTGGATAGCCGTGAACTGCGAGTAGCAGTGCGCAAACAAAACCCGGCAACATTGGATGCAGCGCTCCAGTGCGCCTTCCAGATGCAGGCCATTCAGAGCACCGAATCAGCTTCCAATGCACCGCAAGTAGTAGCAGAAGTATGTGCTGTGCAGACACCCCAGTTCTCAGCTAACATCGACCGGCTGTGCAAGCGACTGGACCAGCTGGAGGCGAGGCTGGACAACACCCAGACAGCCACACCAGCATTTCAGGCTCCGCAAGGTGGACGCCGCCGCTGTTATGTCTGTGAGAGTGTTCTGCACTTGGCAAGAGATTGCCCGCATAATGACCGCCGTCCACAGTCTGGGAACCGCTTCAACCAGTCGGGAAACCGCCAATAGCTGTAGATGTGGGTCAATCCACAGCTGTACTACAAGACCCATTTGATCAGTCTGCATCACCGGAGTTCCGTCCCCACGGGTCAGCAGACCATACAGTGCACATTCCTGAGAGCTGCCTCACGGCAGAGGTAGAGGGCTCCAGTTATGTGAATGGGTCTGTGTGGTTGCAGCCTAAACGTATGTTGGTGGACACCGGAAGTGCAGTGACCATCATCAATCATAACTTTTACCAATCTATCGAATCGAATAATTATCCGTTACAGCCAACAACATGCACCCTCCGGTCTGTAGATGGATCTTTGCTGAAGATCTATGGGGAGACCAAACTCCCATTCCGGATTGGTGGCATTGTCACGACACACAATGTCATGGTAGCTGACATTGGCCCAGATGTTCTGCTGGGACTGGACTTCCTCAAGAGCACGGAGTGTACCATTGATTTTGCAACCAGGAGCATTGGCGCCGGCGGCGTGTCAGTTCCATTGTGCTCCTCAGCCCGCAAATCAGCAGCTCAGGAACTATACCTAGCTACACGCAACTGATCGTTCCTGGACACCTGCAATCGGCGTCAGAGGCACCAACGGAAGTTGGGTGGCTGAATCCATCTGACAAATTCTTGGACACATACAGCCTCGGCATGGCAGGTGTAATAGCTTCCCCGGATCTACATGGTCGTGTACCCATTCGACTGCAGAACTTTCGACCGAGACCAACAACAGTTCGCAAGGGCACTCTCCTCAGCACATTTGAGGTTGACGTCACTGTAGATGATGAGTTACCTGTCACAGCTACTAGGACAGAGGATGACTGAATATTAGCCCATCACCCGTTACGTTATCTGCCGTAAATAATTCCTCAGTCCCCGTTATTGGCCTAGCCCCTGTTGCTATGTCAATTAGCAAATTCAATGCAATGCACACAGTTATTGTTGCGGACATCGAGCCCGATATGCTCATTGGCATTGATTTCCTACGCTCTCATGGCTGCACGCTTGACTTTGACAGTGAAGTGCTAGAAACTGCCAACTGGAGTGTACCGTTAAAATCAGCCAATCAACAATCTCACACAGTTTACCGGATAACTCTTGCGCATAAAGTCACTATCCCCGCTTATTCTCAGATCATTGGACCGGGTAAATTGGAGTCGAATGACACTATGCCTACCTCAGCTGGCTGCATTATACCATCTGATAAATTTCTGTCTAAGTATCATATTGCTATGGCAAGTGTAGTGGCTAGCCCTGACTGCGCTGGTACAGTCCCGATTCGGCTGCAGAACCTGCACTCACGACCTGCAACTATCCAGAAGCGCTATGACATTGCACATTTGACTGTAATGTACTGGTCGACGATGACTCCTCATTAGATGACGACCAGAACGAGCCAAGTCAATGTAACTATGCCACAGAAGAACACATCAGTCCCTCAAAAACTGTTTCGTCTTGACCACTTGGACACCAGTGCCAAAGCTGAGCTTGCCCAAGTTCTCGATGCAAACAAGGATGTCATATCATGTGGGCAGTTTGATTTAGGTAAGAGGGATGTAATTACGCACCAGATCGAGACCGATTCTGAGAAGCCTAAGTGACAACCACCTCGACGCCTGCCCATTCAACAGCGTGCTGAAGTCGAAGCCCATGTTCAAGAGTTGCTAGACAATGATGTGATTTCTCCGTCTAAGAGCCCCTGGGCTGCACCTATCGTGGTAGTTCGCAAGCCAGACTCCTCAATCCGACTGTGTATTGACTACAGAAACTTGAACTCAATCACCAAGAAAGACGCTTTCTCCATGTCTAGAGTTGATGACGCCATTGATGCCATGAGTGGTGCGTCGTACTTCTCCTCGTTAGACCTTGCATCTGGCTACTGGCAAGTTGAGTTGGATGAAGCCGCCAAAGCCAAATCTGCATTTGTTACCCCATTTGGCTTATACGAGTGGAACTGAATGCCGTTTGGACTGTGCAACGCTCCTGGAACATTTCAACGCCTGATGAACCTAGTGCTAGGGGACCTTGTGCCATCAATTTGCCTCGTATATCTGGATGACATTATTGTTTTCTCTTCATCTTTGTCGGAACACATGGAACGACTACAACTCATCTTCAACCGACTCTGAATGGCAGGTCTCAAGGTTAAACCCAAGAAGTGCCAACTACTCTGCTCATCGGTGACCTATCTGGGTTATAACCTCTCTGCTGATGGTGTTCTACCTGATACCAATAAGTATGCGGTCGTCAAGGATTGGTCGGTGCCCTCATCTGCTAGAAAGGTACGTAGTTTCCTTGGCTTTGCCTCCTATTACCGCAGATTTGTACCTAACTTTTCAACTGTAGCTGGTCCTTTGCACCACTTGTCACATAAAGATACTCCCTTCATATGGACCGATGACTGCAAGCAGGCCTTTGCTCAATTGAAGTCACACTTGATATCACCACCAGTACTAGCATATCCTGACGCACAGAAGGCATTTGTTCTTGACACTGATGCATCGGGTACGGGTATTTGTGCTGTGCTATCCCAAGTGAATGATGATGGTCATGAAGTAGTCATTGCTTTTGCAAGCAAATCCCTATCACGGTCTCAAAAGAACTATTCGGTCACTAAGCGTGAACTGCTAGTTGTCGTAGAGTTTGCTGATGCATTTAGCCATTATTTGCTTGGAGCTGAATTCACATTGCGTACTGACCACAAGTCTCTTCTTTGGTTGAGTTCCTTCAAGGAGCCCGCTGACCTGCTTGCCCGATGGATTGAGCGACTGTCTTGATTCTCCTATGTTGTCCGCCACCGGCCTGGCTCCAAACACGCCAACGCTGATGCTCTGTCACGGCTTCCAGGAAATGACCAAAGGCAAGTAAATGCTGATGTCCCCTGTCCTGTGTACTCAGTAGAAGCTGATCCCTGCACACAGCCCAGTGACCTACCATCTAGTCCTAGTGATCCTAATTGGTGTGAAGCATTTACAGCTGCTGAATTAAGAACTGTTCAACTTAAAGATCGAGACCTCAGTACCCTGATTGGTTGGCAAGAAGCCCTTCTAGACTGACCTGTACGTAGTGACTCTGCAATGCGAGGTGTATCAGTAGGTGTGCTGAGACTGTGGAGCAATTGGAAACGCATAAAGTTATGTGATGGTGTTTTGTACCGGGTGTATCAACCCGAGGATAGCGAAACTCCCATTTTGCAATTAGTCGTTCCATCAGCTCTTCAGACATCAGCAATGCAGAGTGCCCATTCTGATGTCTCCGGTGGCCATCTAGGAATAGAACGTACTCTTCAGAAGCTTCGAGCACGGTTCTATTGGCCATTTATGACTGCATCTGTTACGGATTTCTGCAAGAGTTGCTCTGTATGTGAAAGTCGCAAGTCGGCAACACCTAACCCGAAAGCACCGTTAGTGCAAGATCAGCCTTCATTTCCATTTGAGCGTGTGGCGATTGATATCATGGGCCCGTTACCAGAGTCATCCCGTTGTTATCGCTACATTGTTGTCATTATGGACTATTTCCCGAAATGGCCTGAGGCGTTTGCTATTCCTGACACGCGTACCGAGACACTCGCCACTGTATTAGTTGATGGCGTGTTCTGTCGATACGGCATGCCGTATCAACTTCACTCTGATAGAGGACCTCAGTTTGAATCGCATTTGTTCAAGCAGATATGTCAACTTTTGGATATACGGAAATCGCGCACTACCGCGTATAGACCACAGAGTGATGGTCTGGTGGAGCGCATGAATCGAACCATTGAGAACGTGTTATCAGCTCATGTGAATGATCACCATACCAACTGGGATGAACATTTACAACGATGTCTTCTAGCCTATCGCTCCAGTGTTCACTCCTCCACAAGGGAGACACCCGCTAGATTGATGTTTGGTCGTGAGTTACACCTACCTATTGATGTCATGTTCAACAGTCCTCCACAGCAGGCCTTCACCGCCACCGACTATGTACAACGATTGAAGTGTCACCTACAGCAAGCTTTTGATCATGCTCGTGCTTCTGGGGCAGTTGCTCAAAAACGCCAGAAAGCTCTGTATGATAAGTTCACGAATAAGCCTCGTCTCAGTATTGGTGATCGCGTTAGCCTACATAACCCAGCAGTAAAGACCGGCCTGACACGAAAGTTTCATCTACCCTGGAAAGGCCCCTTCACCATTGTATCTCAGATCGATGATGTTGTATTTGCCATTGCCGATTCCACGGGCAAAGTCCAGACTATAGACTGTGACCGATTGAAGCTTTACACTGCTACTCCAAATGCTGTGGCTCCAGCTGATTTAGTTGTTCCGCCCATGGCTGAACCTACTCAGGCTCAGTATCACGCAGAAGTACACTATGATGTCCAGTTACCTGTTGTACCACAACCGCTACCAGCAGCAGCACACGGGTATGGATTGCGACACAGAGGTAACCTGCAGCTCCCTCAGAGGTATAGGTGAGCTCATGCTATTGACCCATGACACGCCATTTCCTTTGAACTTATGATGTTCATCACTATTAATATCACCACAGTAAATGTAATCTAGCACAGACACAATTTGCTTCCGTCTTGAAGTGGTCATGCAGTCGATGTAGTCCGAGATAAATAAGTATTGCATTCGGAGAGCATTGACTTCCTTATTTATAATGGCAACCCTACTATTCTCCACATGCACTTATTCTCATCCGACATAGACCGTCATGTTTTTTTGTAGTAGTAAAGTTGTCGCGAGGACGCGACGTTTGCAAAGCCGAGGGATGTGTGGCATTCCAGGATTGTAACTTGTGCATAATAGTTCTCTTACCTTGTTGTCTTTCCCAAGTTGTAGTTTTACCTAAGTTTACGGTTGCATACAAATCACCTCTCACAGGTTCAAACCCCAGACTCGGCAATTCATTCCTTTTTCCTTTCACTGTAGACTCTGATGATGTCATGGCACCCATCTTGGATTCTTTATGCCATGTGCATTAGGTTTGTAGTAGTAAAGTTTTCGCGAGGACGCGACTTTTGCAAAGCCGA